ACAAAGATAATGCTTAATGTCAATATAAAACAAGAATCTGTTAATATTTCCTAAATTCTCCCAAAGACCAAGCTTGCAAGCAGAACAAATCCATAGTCTGATATCAAATAGACACCAGTTTATTTGCAGTTACAGAGTCCTGACAGTGCCACATACCTCATCCCCACAATGCTGTGCAAAGATACAGGTTATCAGGACACACAAAGCAGTCTGAACAACTCCAATCAAATGCGCAAGAGTCACTCCTGCACTTTGCCTTGGCAGTAAGCGTATGCAGTCTACCCTGCCTTCAAATGTATAGTCGATGCACCTTCTGAATCTCAGATGGCCTCAGAACGCAGCTCTTAGCTCAACTTCCATTTACCAGGAGCCTAGCATGTGCTCAGAGACCTGTCCCATGCCTTCCAACATGTCCTCCTCATTCGTGTGTCCCTGCTGGAAACTGAGATAAGCAGATATACCTGAGGCAAAAAGGTGGCGGCACCCTGACTGAGGACTGGCTGTTCTTACAGCTTTGAACAGGACACCCCTTGTCCATACAGGACTGTCTACTCATTTAAAAAGATTAATTCATTTGATAGATCTTTCAACTGCTGGTTCACTCATCAGATAGCCACAACATGCAGGGCCAGGCCAGACTGAAACTAGTTCCTTCTGCCACACGTGGAGGTGCTGGAAGGCCAAACACTTACACTATCTCCTGCTGGTTTTCACAGGCCATTAGGATTGAAAGTGGAACAACCGGGACACAAATTGGCATCCATGTGGTTTGTCGGCATCGCCAATGGCAGCTTTACATGCTATGCCACACTCCAGCCTCAGGAACGTCACTTTAAAAACGTACATCCCTTGGGCCGGGCAGCACAGACCTTCCAGGCACAGACTAAAGGGTCTGGTTGATGAACCCAGAAGATATCTGTCGCTCTGACCTAAAATACAATTCCAACAGCCTGTGCCGTGTAACAGCATGTGTGTCACAAACACCCCAGCTTCTGTCCCTCTGGCTCCCACGGGGCACCATGGCTGGGGACCACTGCACCTGGCATGGGGTCCAGACAACCCCTCCTTCAGCAGTCCAGGCATGCGCATATCACATGCTGCAACAAGGTGTGTCTCCAAGGGTGGCTTCCAGCTCCACGGCCAGCTGAGCTTACGTGTGAACTCTTCCACGCATGCCCAAGACGACCCATGCGCCCACACACTCAGAAAGTGAATGCAGCAAGGAAAGCGGCTGCCTGCAAGTTAGAGGAAACCGGGAAGGTGGCACAGCAGGCTCCCCCAGGTCACGTGGGGGACCCACAGACAGCCCCAGCACCTAGAAGGGCAACTCAAGCCAAAAGCCAATGAAAAGCCTTTCTGGTCCCAGAGAGGAGACCCCGATTTAGCACTATCTTCCTAAGGAGGAGAATGACACCGTAGTTAGGTGAGTGACAATCAGCCAACAGCAAAGTCTTCCTCAGGAACCAGGCACAAGCCACAGAGGGGGAAGGTCAGCTGAGTGATGCCCCCAGAAACAAGGGCATCCTGGGAACAGGCGTGGCCCGGGAGGGAGCACAGAAGATGACCTCCAAGTCTGACTATAAAAGGCAGGGCAGTGAGGCACAGGGACACACGGCCCCCTGCCAAATAAAGATCACCCCCACCCACACCGAGCAGCTGACCGAGCAGGGGCCTCCCAGGGCAGCAGGACCAGCTCCCACCAATAAGACACAGCCACAGCCCGCCACCTCCAAGGTTTCTTCCCTTCTAAGGTCACAGGCCCATCTCTCCCTCCAGGTTCTTATCAGGACTTAGTTTGAGTTCTGGAGGGGCAGTGGCTGAAGGGGCCACAGCCTGGTACCATACACTACAGCGTTTAACAGAAGTAGCCCAGGCCGCCCAGGTAGTATAAGTTCAAAAAGTTCAATCAAAAATACTATCTATTGGAGCCAGTGCTGTAGCTTAGCTGCTTAAGTCGCCACCTGCAGTGCTGTTATCCAAACTGCTCCACTTCCAATCCAGCTCCCTGCCGACACGCCTGGGAAAGTAGTACAAGAAGGCCCACATCTTTGGGTTCCTACACTCACAGGGGAGGTCTGATGAAGCGCCCAGTTCCTGGGTTTAGCCTGGTCTAGCCCTGGCTGCTGCGGACTTCTGGCTAGTGAACCAGTTGATGTAAGATCCGACTTTCAAAAATAAATAATAAATCTCTAAATACATATATTGTCCATCAGGGGAGTGGGGCCCCACAGCAGAAATCATGGCCTCCTCGAGTCAGCAGATGATAGTAAGTCCTCCACCTTGACCTGGCTAGCCCCACACACCCAGCCATGGGAAAGAAGCAAAAGGGGTACTTCTGCAGAAGCCAGTGCTGCCCTGCCCTGGGCTGCTGGATAAGCAGCAGGAAAAACTTCAAGAAAAACTTCTGACACCACCTGCCTCCCATCAGGGAGGGGGAGAGAAATGCTTTTCTGTTGTCAATACAAGGGGCTGTGGCTGGCCAGCAGTGAGCAGGCACACTTGGGAGGATGCCCCCCAGCCCTTCCTAGCACACCTTTGGCCCTGACCCCTTCTGCTAAAGGCACAAGAGGAGAGAACACCCCTTGAGCTAGATCCTGTTTGCCAACGACAAGTGGGGGTGATCCAGGGTCACAACCTCCATGGCAGCAGTCGCCGTGTGACTGCTTAGGGAACACCCCCATTTCGCATCTCTGACATTGGGTGAAGGATGGCGACAACAGTCCCATCTCCACTCACGGTCACTGTGAGTCCTGCACAGTGAGATCCTGGGACAGCAGATGCTACACTCTCACATGGATGATGGCACAGCCTGGAAGCAGGGCAAATCAGCCGAGGGCTGGGAGACAGGTCCGTAACTTGGCACAGCCCTGGGGTTCCTGGACAGCACAGGGGAGGTGGAGCTCAACCAGGTGAGTGGCAGGGCTCCTGTCAAGAAGGAGCTTCGGGTCCTGGCTTCAACCTGGTCCAGCCCCAGCAATGGCAGAGAAGTGAACCAGCAGATGAAAGACAAGATGCATGTATACGTTTTCTCTATGTAGCTCTCAGAGAGAGAGAGAGAGAGAAAGAGAGATTCAAACAAGCAAAAGAGAGAAGGGGCCGAGTACATCAAATGTCAGAAGGCACCAGTTAGGTTCCTTTGGAGAGGCCTGAGCCATATGTAAGTCTTTGAAAGGCCAAGCATGTTTCAGGAATAACTGAAGGTTGTGTAAAATCTCCCCTCCAACCATGAGAGGAGACACACACGTAAGTGTGCAGGCACACCCCAGAGTGGGAGTTTGCTCCACAGCACTGTCTACCACATTGCCATTCCCTGCAGAAGGCTACAGGACGGTCAAGAGAAAGGAAACGTGGGTACCCACAGCTGACCATCTCCCCACTAGGCCGAGAGCTCTACACACACACACACACACACACACACACACACACACACACACTCCAAGCTTTATGTCCAGAGGCTTTTCCTGCTCCTCCAGCACTCAGTGGAAGGACAGAGTTCCTCTATGCTTCATCTTCCCCAACAGCCATCTTAATGTTATGCCAGACTCTGCGGATGGCAGATGGCCGACCCACTGCCCTGAACCTCCCTCCTGAAATGGCTCCTGTGTCCAGGTGAAGGAGGTGCAGCAGCCAGGGACCAGAGAGACTGGAAGGGGAGCTGCCCAGGTGCTGGAAGGGACCTCTATAGCAGCACCCTCTGGGCAAAACAGAACACACCCACAGCTCCCAGTGCTGTCAGCTGTGTTAGGAAGTAAAAAGTCACAGCTGAATTTAATAGGACACTTTGCTGAGTCTAACGCGTCTGAAATGTTATATGTGTCAACACGTAATTGATTCAAAAATTATGAATGAGCTATTTTACAAGATTTTTTTTCCCAATGCTAATCTTTGAAACCCAGCATGTATTTCCCAGGGTCACAGGTGTCCCCAGCACCAGCAAGCCCACCAGCCCCACCGACTCAGGGTTTTGTGGCTCCTCTTGACTAGAGTATGTGGGCTCCCTGGGTCTTTAACTGGGCCAATCACAAAATACCAGCTATTTATAGCTTATACATGGACTTCTAGCCAGTGAGGACACAGCCCTGCTGGCCCACAGACCTAAACATTGCCAAGCGCCATGAGGCAAACGCCTAAAGTCAGATTCTAGTACCAAACAACCCAGCTCCTAAGAGGTGGACCCCATCAGATAAGGGTTGCATGTACTTCAAAGGCGGCAGCCAGCACACTGCAAACAAGAGGCCTCAAAAGACCACCACTTCAGCCCCAAAGCAGTGACCAATGTACCTTCGGCAGGTGATTTTCACACGCTATTTAGGAATCGAGGGTAGCAGAAGCCAGGAGGGTTAAGAAGGCACCCTGCTACACAGACCCAGTGAAGCCGAAATCTCCCAGCTGGACTCCACCCCCTCACCATCTTCCCCAGTAAACCTGCACATCCAAGCACTGTGCCTTTGAATCAACTCTCTGCTCCTCCTGTATTGCACCATATTCCAAGTGCATTCATTGACCCGCCATACAACAAAGGCCCCTGACTGCTGCTGAGGTTTAGGGACTTCGGGGTATAACCAGAAATGCAAAATGGAAGGTCAACAAGCTCCTGGCACAGAGCATGGTGGAACATTCCCAATATGGGATTTGAACAGGCCTGAGGGATACCAGAAAGGCCTCAATTCTGCACCCCAAGAGTCCTTAGGTACAAAGGACAGCCAACAAGACCCCACCAGGAGCCTCTGCCGCTTGGCAGACCTAAATGTGACAAGGGGAGCAGGTGTGTTCTGAGGAAGAGGGAGGAGCAAAGAGAAGGAGAAAGGCAAAGGAGGGAGGGGGGGAGAGGAGGAAGGAGAGCAGGGAGAGGAGGAGGGAGAGGAGGAGGGAGAGCAGGAGGGAGAGCAGGAGGGAGAGCAGGGAGAGGAGGAGGAAAAGCAGGGAGAGGAGGAGGGAGAGCAGGGAGAGCAGGAGGAGGCAGCTCAGACTGGCGAAGCAGCAGCCAGTGGTGGACTTACTTTTCTGGCAGCGGTTGGCAGTCCAGCAGCGGTAGTTGTACTCGTTATTGATGGCGGTCTTCTCACATGTTGGCTTCCCCTCCAGGACCCCGGGGCACAGGTCCCCACACTCCTTCGGGGGCTTGTTCCCCACAATGTAGTTGTTGGGCACGGCGTCCAGGATGAGCGACCAGTCCACCGTGGAGAGGAAGCAGAGGTCGGCGTTCTTCTCGATCCTGATGGCGCCCCGGGTGATGTTCCTCAGGTTATGCAGCCCTATGTCCTTAAGGTTAGTCATCTCGAAGATGACCAGGGCATAGTTGTAGAAGAGCTTCCAGCCGCGGATGACCGTGAGGTTCGGGAAGAGGTCCCCCAGGCTCTCGAGGCCGGCCACCCGGAAGAGCAGCAGGTACTCGGTGATGACGGTGAGCTTGGGGAAGCGGTAGTTGCGGTAGTCCTCGGCCTTGGAGATGAGCAGGATGTGCAGGAAGCCCTCGATCACCGTGCAGTTCTCCAGGCGCTTCAGCTGCTGGAAGTCATTGCGGATGTCGATGCCCGGCCCGCAGACTGCAGGAGGCAGGGGGACAAGGGAAACACAGGTCTTAGTGAACAGGAAACGACCCAAAGGCTGTTCTTCAGCCCACCCCAGTGCCCTTCGACCATCATCATGAGAGAAATGAACACTCGGGTCCTTCATTAGACTCTCTCGAGGTGTGTGGGCTGCAGGGTGACCTCTGGACAGCTGACCAGTGAGCTGCAAGGCAGAGCCAAGCACTGGGCAACTCTCCCAGCAGCCACATGAGCGGAGGGCCCTGTAAGCATTCAGACTCAAGGTTAGGGGCCAGGTGCCACTGGGCACCTCCACACGTGAAGGTGCTACCCAGGCCAGCCTGACCCCACCAAGGAGCCCTTGCTGGCTCTTCTTCTGACACCTAACACTGGCTCCCACTACCTGAACACAAGCCCAGGGCCCACCGCACCCAGCCAGGATGACAAGCAACAGTCTACACTGGGCAAAAGCCAATGAAGCCAGAAAATGGGAACCCTAAAGCACGTGCCACCACCTTCCCAGCCACAACCTGGCAGTGTGCTTCCCGGCGGAGCATGAATGGGGATTCCAACAGCAACTTAACAGGTTAAAAAAAAAAAAAAAGAATGACGTCTTAGGAATAGAAGCATCATACAATTCTGACTATCCTAGAAAGCAGGCTTCCCATACAAAGGTGGACAGCAAAACAATAGTCAATGAGGTAATTGTTAAAACTACTAATGCTACTTATCCTTTCTTCACCAATTTTAAGGTAAACCAAGCCAGACAATACATAATATTTACTATAAACACACATCCTTGCCTCTACATGAACATTTGAGCAAGCCAATAAGCACTCTACTAACACCATCACCTAAAAGAGGTAACTTTCTGTTAACCAACTCCCCATTTGGGCGATTCAAGTGCCCCCCATTTTATATATCATAAGTAACACTAACATGAGCACGCTCCACAGATAACCAGCACCGTTTTTTGTTTTGTTTTTTTTTTTTTGTTTTTTTTTTTTTTGTTTTATTGGAAAGGCGGATATACAGAGAGGAGAGACAGAGAGGAAGATCCTCCGTCCGATGATTCACTTCCCAAGTGAGCACAACAGCCGACACTATGCCGGTCCGAAGCCAGGAGACTCTTTCGGGTCTCCCACGCGGGTGCAGGGTCCCAAAGCTTTGGGCTGTCCTCAACTGCTTTCCCAGGCCACAGGCAGGGAGCTGGAAGGGAAGCGGGGCTGCCGGGATTGAACTGGCACCCATATGGGATCCCAGGCGTGCAAGGCGAGGACGTTAACCACTGTGCCACCGCGCCGGGCCCCAGCACCGTTTTTTAGGGTGAACCCCTATAAGCCAAACAGCTGGGCCAACCAGGACCATTTCTCAGGGTGAACCCCTATGAGCCAAACAGCTGGGCACCTGTAGATTTCAAAGGCTTTTGACGAAATTCCCTCAATACTGGAAGACCTTGGTTTATTTCTAAAAGTTCTATTCATATACCAAAACCAAAAATAAAAACAGGGTAACCCTTGGTGATGAGCCTAAAGACTGAACGATGTCCAGCCCCCTGTCAGAGTTTCTTAGGGACCTGTCTGGTGGTACACAGGGGTAGCCTGGTGCTTGCAGTGTCACTATCCCGAGACTGGTGGTTCAAGTCCCGGCTGGATCCAGCCCCTGCTAATGCACCTGGGAAAGCAATGATGAATGGCCAAGTACTTGGGTCTCTGCCACCAATAAAGGAGACCCAGATGGAGTTCTTGATTTCTGGCTTTCACCTAGCACAACCCCAACTTAGGCATCCATTTGGGGAGAAAACTTGCAGATGGAAAATACCTCAATCTGTGTGTGTGTGTCTCTCTCTCTCTGCCTTTCAAATAAGTCTCTAAAAATGATGATAAAGCTTTCCAAACCATGCCATGAAGCATACTTGGTCTAACAATTAAGATTCCACTTGGGAAATACACATCTCTTATCAGAATATCTGGGTTCAAGTGCAGCTCTGTTTCCATCTCCAGCTTCCCTCTAGCACCCATCTGGGAGGCAAGGGTGATGGGTCCCGTCCCTCACCAACAGGGGAGACCTGAACTGAGCTCCTGGCATTAGCCTGGTTCAACCTCGGCAGTGGCAGGCAGCTGCAGAGTGCTGAATGGGACCCACTGAGAAGAGTGAAATTCTCTGATCTGCCTCATTCCCCTGCCACGGAGCTCTTGATGCCAAGGTCCCCTTCTCAAAGCTCTGCCCAAGGGCCACACTGGGGCTTAGTAGGTTGGGACAATACCGGCCACACGGGTATCTAAAATGGGTGCCAGTCCACCTTCCAGCTGTTCCACTTCTGTTCCAGCTCCCTGGAAAAACAGTGGAGGATAGGCTAAGTATTTGGACCCCTGCAGCCACATGGGAGATCCAGAAATTCCTGGCTTCAGTCTAGCATAGTTCTGGCCATTGTGGCCATCTGTGCAGTGAAACAGTAGGTCAAAGACTTATCTAAACCTTTTAAATACATGAATCTCAAAGAAGAAAATATCCCTTAGTTTCCAATATCCCCAGCTGTCTCCCTTAGCTCCTTCTCCACGTTTTCTCATCTCTCACTTGTCCTTCTCCTCCTCACCCAGCTCTGGTCATTGAATCAACATCCGTAGAGCTGAGGGTCCTGAGGCTTAAGGGGTAGAGGGAGAGGTAGGGAGTCCTAGGACCGGACCGAAAACTTGGTCATCCTTTCCTATTAAAAGTGAAGTGTAAGAATTTGCTCTTAAATAATAAGCTTTTACAGAGTAGTATTTGAATGCAATCCACATTCAATTATATGATAAAGCGTTAGGCAACAGTTAGTCCGCTACCATTTCCAAGAGCTCACACTGGTACCCAAAGGATGAGCACCAAGACACATAGCTCCAGTGGCCGCATTTTGTTTCCAACAAAAGCGCCGGAGGCAGGCAAACTGGCTCCTCTGCTTGGCCGGCACACAGCACCCCGTTAACGGAAGCCCTGCTCCACAACGTAACAAGCGGTAGTTCCTTCAAATGAAAGGGCAGTCTCTGTCTTTCACACTTCCCCTCACTTATAGAAGAAAAGAAACAAAGTCGGAAGGAACTGCCCACGTGTTCCGGAAAAGGAGACAACCCAAGCCACCAGTGCTGAAGCCAGGAGCAGCCACCAGCTGTTCTGGATTCTGTGACTGACGCTGCTGGTCCCCAGGATGCTCTGTGAGTGAAACAGGAAAAAAAAGAACACGAAGCTGGGCTGCGAATGATAACACAGCGTACAGAAAAAAGAAGCCCTAGATGGGAAAGAGTCGGATGTGCCTCACCACGAAGGGACGCTCTCTGTGCTGCTATGCCTGGGTGACTGAAAGGAAATTTCAAAACCTCATTTCCCCCTCTTCAAAACACCAGAGCTGGGGTGGTGGCGGGGAGGGAAGGGGGACAAAAACTTTGGAAGGCAAGATCCCAAGCTGGCTCACAGAGCACTGTGGAAGGAAGCAGGGAGAAGGGCAAGAGTACCCCCAAGCCAGAGAGCCCCCGGCAGCACCGACACAGAGGCTGGAGGTGAGGGTGGCGTACGGGAGCGCTGGGTGGTGGCTTGGTACCAGGGACAGAACTTACTTCTCCTAGTGACACCACTGACATAATACATTCCAAGCAGACAAACACTGATTTCAAAAGAACTCCTAGTTACTTTTTCAAAGCTCAAAATACAGAATCTCTAAGAACTAAAGTGAATGGCATAAACTTGCTTCAGGGATTTGGAAAATAAATTCCAAGAACTGGTAAGAAAGGAAGAGATCATGGGAAACACCAAGCCAAGAAAACCCCCCAAGCCATGCATCTGGTGTCGGGGAAGAGAAGTGATTGTGTGTTCCACATCAGACACAACCTGGGGGTCTGCAGAAATGACAAGAGCAGGATGCCACTGGGCAACCTGGAGTGCAAGCTGCCAGCTCCCGCCCTCGCCATCTCTAAGTTGGCTTCTTCCTTCACCTGCATACGGCTGCTTTCCCTTGACAGGACAGTCAGGTAAGAGCTGTTGTCTTATAGTCAACAGCAGAACTGTTAGAATCACTAACCACGGGGGCAAAGACCCACCCATTCTATTGCTCCAGAGTGTTGCGACATAAACCAAGGGGCAAGATTAGCTAATCACCCATTATCCTTCTGTTAATAACCCTGCAAGAATACCATAAAGGATAGTCACACAATTACAATGTTTCCTAACATAGTCAACTCATTACTAAAAAGATGGGATAGTCCTAGCTTATCGTTGGAAACAAATTGGGAAGTGAAATTCAGGAGGTAAAGGTAAAAACACAGCCGCGGACCTGCCATCACCTCCAGTTCTTACAGCACAAGGCAAACGTCACCAAACCTCTGGGCTTGTTATTCACAATGCCAATTCCGCCAGCGGTTTACCATAGTCCTTCAACTCCTCCTAAAATGAATTCTTTGCAATCAATAATTCAGTAGAGCAGAAACCCTAAGCCAGATAGTCTCGCTCCATGAAAGTCAAAATCATTTAAGAGGTTAGAAGAGGTTTAATGTATAAGTGCATTTCACACAAGGGGGACACAGCAACCACCTCTCCAGCAAGTGGCACATTAAATGAAATAAAAGTGAACAGGTTAACGGGGAGGCCCCAGGGAGTGAAAAGGACACTGAGGGTCCCCTTTCCCCAACCCTCATCTAGAGGAAACCCCTAAGAGAGGCTGGCCAGGAAGGGCCTGGGAGGCAGCCTGAGGCATTCAGCACACACACACCCCAGGGCAAGAAGCCCAGGGCAGAAGCAGGCAGAGTAAGCAAACGGAGACAGGCATGCAGGAGACCAACGTCCTCTTGCCCGTAACTCAGCACTGGATTCTGCACACCTCAGAACCTCGGGAGGGCTTGGAAGACAGCGTGCTTCTGCTTAGGGCCGCCCTCCAACACACTGGTTCTGCCGGTGTAGGCTCCACCCTCTGAGATCCACTGCCCCAGGAAAAATCCTTTGACAACCTTACCTAACTCAGCCCACCTCTAGACCCACACCTGTAGTGTGGT